ACGGAGTCACCTCCTTCCCATAGTGTTTCCAAATTACTCACATTAGTTCAAGGACAGGGTTCTCCCACATCATCACTCAGTCAGAATTTTGCTGCTCCTATAGTTTCCAGGCCACATGTTCAGTCCTATGTATTCTGGGATTCTACTGCTCTCTTATCTTCTTTTCTTAAGGCAATCCTCCTTCCTTTTCTTAGGACCTGGAACTAATAACACCCCTCCAGAACAGGTCCAGAAAGTTTTGCCATTCTTCCAGAAGTCTGGGGTTCAAGAAATACTCTCTCTTCACTGCTGCCCCTGGTAGCTAGTACCTCTCAAGCCATATGGCTTCCTTTTCCAAGCCTGGCATATCTGGAGCCAAGGGGATGCTGTACTGCAATTCAGAGTCCATTAATTCTTGCTACTCCACCACTGCCCCATGACCACTGTAATCTCTAGGGCTAAGGGAGAGGGGGAGAGAGGGGTGGCATGGAAATACAAACGTCCTTTCTCAGTGCTTTGTGACCTTTGGAAAGTTCTGTTTCCTCAGGAGTCCCAGATTGAGTAGGCCCTGGCTGAGTCTGAATCTTATTTACCAAGCAATGGAAAGCTTGTGAAGGTTTTTCATGATTGTGCATTAGTAAAGTTCATCTGGTAGATAAGTGGAATTGTAGGTAAGGAAACCATCTAGTTGTCTGTTATGACAGTCCCAGTTTGAGATAATGAGGATGCAGGGCCATTACCTGCTCCTCACTCAAACCCATCTGAAAATCATCTCTTTCCAAAAGGAAAAAAGAAAATAGAGCTTTTTTACTAGGTTTTCTCTCTCCCTCCTTAAATTGGCTTCAGATATCCAGATCTTGAATAATTTGTCACAATTAAATAACCTCTGAATGCCAAAACTCAACCAATCTATTAATGAGAATATTTTGACCTATCAAGGAAACATGATTAAAGTCTCAAAAAAAAAAAAGGCCTAATCTTTTAGCCTGATTACTCTAAATTTCTAACCCCTCGTTCAACAGGGTCACATTAGTTTTCCACACTGAACCTTATTGAAAAATACTGAAATGGAGCAAAAAACTCCAGGTTCCAAGTATCCTCTTGCTCTTGATGATTTTCTATGGTTGAAAAGAACGGTTTCTGACAAACCTCCAAGGCAATTTTTTCCTGGTATGGACATCCTTATAAGCATTCACTGAAAAGCTCCTTTTAAGCCTTCTAGGAAGTTTCTTCCACATTCTTCCACAGCAACTAAAAACCTAACCTTATTGGTTTACTTATAAGTCATATAGAAGGCAGTAGGACTGTGCACATAACCACACAAGCAGGGTGAGTTACTAGGCTTCCACGATTCCGGGAACTGGTAAGTAGGTGGTTCACTCAATGGATGCTTTTTTTCCGAGACTCTGCTCTTTCTTGGCTTTTCTCCCACCTGTGTCACCTCTTCTATTTGTTCAGCATCCATCCATACCACACTGACCAGCTGTGCTTTTGTCCTAGACCCTTTTCTCTGTTCTCTTTACACTCTTTCACTGGATAACTTCATTAGCTCCCAATTACCATCTTGATGCAGATGACTAGCTTGAAGCCATCTTTTTATCTCTATTAGTAAGATGCTATGTTCTCCATCTAAGTCTATATAATCTAAAAATTTTTTAAAAATTGTTCAGCATTATTGTTTTGTGCTAGACACTACTAGGAACTGCAGGTTTAACAGTACAAAATTAAACAATGCCTGTTTTACAAATAAGTATATACAAAGTTGTATGAAGTAACTTTAGAGAGGATTTTCCACTTAAAATTAGCAAGTTCAGGAAAAGCCTCCTTGAGGAAGTAGCATTTGAGTTGTGCTTTGAAAGAAGCAGCTAGGTGGTGCAGTAGATAAGAGTGGTGGGCCAGGAGTCAGGAAGACTCCTATTCTTGAGTTCAAGTGTGGTTTCAGACACTTACTAGCTATGTGACCATGGGAAAGTCACTTAGCCCTGTTTGCCTCAGTTTCCTCATCTGTAAAATGAGCTGGAGAAGGAAATGGCAAACCACTACAGTATCTTTGCCAAGAAAACCCCAGGGTCATGAAGAGTTGGACACAACTAAAACAACTAAACAGCAACAACAAGAAATCCTAAGAGACAGAGATGAAGAGGGAGTGCATTCCAGATATGAGAATGCCTGTCCAAAGGCATAGATCTGAGAGAAGCAATGTCATGTACAGAGGACAACCAGCAGCTTACTTTGACCAAAATAGAGAGTCTATGAAATAGATTAATATGAAATAAAATTGGAAATACAGATGGAAGTCATATTTTGGAGGACTTTAAATGTTAGGCTGAAATTTTTTTTATTTTATTTTAGTGGTACTAGGAAGTCACTGAAGATTATTGAATGGTGTGATGATATGATCAGGTCTGCACTTTATTAATATCAATGCCACAGCTGTGTGGAGAATGGATTGGAAAGCAGAGAGCCTAAGAAGCTGTTGCAATTTTGTTCAGGCAAGACCTGAGAAGGGATTGAACTTGTAGAGGCTACATGAGTAGAGAGAATAGATACAAGATATATTGTAGAGACAGAAGTGACAAGACCTAGCAATTGATAGGATGGGGGGAGGGGAAGTGATGAAGGAAAAAAAAATATGACCCTCTTATTTTATTTTTCTTTTAAGGCAATTGGGGTTAAGTGATTTGCCCAGGGTCACACAACTAGTAAGTCAAATGTTTGGTCTGAGGCCAGAGTTGAACTCAGGTCTTCCTGACTTCAGGGCTGGTGCTCTATCCACTGCACCACCCAGCTGCTCCATGATCCTAATATTTTAAACCTGACTAGGAGGATGGCAGTGCCATTGAGAGAAACAGGAATGAGTTGGAGGTGTGGAGGTGGAAGGTTGGGGTGGAGGGAATGTATTGAGTTCTATTTGGGGTATATTGAGTTTGAAAGACCTATGAGACATCCAGATGAAGATATCCAGCAGGCAGTTAGTGATACTGGACTCAAGTTTAAGAGAGATATTAGGTCTGAATAGATTTGTGAGTCTTCTTCACAGAGAAGGGGAGGGGAAAGTAGAGCAGAGGAGAGGAGAGGAAAAGAGGGGAAAAGAGAGGAAGGGAGGAGAGGAGAGTATAGAAAAAGAGTATAGGAAGAAATGAGAAGAGAGTCAAGGACAGAGCCTCAGAGAATGGGAGAATATTGGAGAATATTTAGCCATTGGGAGCAGGATGATGATTCAGTCGTGGAGAATAAGAAGCGTTCAGAAAGGTAGAAGAACTATGAGAAAGCAGGAATTTTATTGTTGTTTGTTTCTTTTTTCTTACATTTTTATTTTTTGTTATTCTTAACTAGATAAAGCATGAATATTTTATATATAGTTAACCTTAGTGGCCACTCCTATATCCCCACAACAGCTGACATACAACAGTATTCCCTTTGCCCCTCAAGAGGCCCCTCTACCCTGGATGCCAACATTCCCTTTTTATCAGACATTCTGTTTTTTGCTATTTCTGAGGCAACCTGGCTTCTAACGAGAGATATTAGGCTCTTTGTCCTTACACTCTGGCTCACTAAGTCCCTGCCCTGTACTGAGATGATGATTTTATTAATGGTTTACATTTAGGGCCTCCTCTAGAAAAAAAAAAAAAAGGAAGAAGAAAACAAAGAGCATTCAACATATACTATGAATCAGGTATAAGACAGGTCACTTGTTGCTATGCACTAAAGCAATGCTAAACACAGGACTTTCACAAGCACACATTTGATGAAAAAGAATTTCTCAGATATATTTCTATGTAGCAATGAAGGGGCCTTGTCTATACAAGCTAAGTGTTAGAATATGCTTCTTGAGTATTTCTTTCGATGCTGTGGCTAAAAAAAACTTCCTTTTGCTAACTATGAAATGACTGATTTCATCCCAACTTGAAAAACAGGGTACTGACCTGAGTCAGGCCCACCTTTACCACAGGTGAATTATCACAGTGTTCCATGGGCATCCTCTTGATGTTGAAAGAAATCAAGGAAGGTGTCAAGCATATTGGGTGAACCCTTTGTGGAACTTTTGGGAGAATGTGGATAAGGGTCACATAAGATAAGCAAGATTGAATGGGATGCAATCTACATCTTTGGAGAGAACTCCTGAATTGATGATATCACAAAGCTATTTGAGTATATTTGTCTGCTTGCTTAAATGATTAAAATTTGTACATATTGACTCCTCTGACAAAAAATAAGATTCTGTGCTGGGATTGCTTCACTTTCATTTTTGTATCTGCAGTGCCTGACACATAGTAGGTGCTTAATAAATGCTTGCTGATTGATCTCCCAAGTACACAGGTTACCCAGGATGCTTCTGGTATTTTGGCCAGAGTTGGAACCCTCTAGGCCTCTCTTATAGTGGTAGTTCCTACCTCAATGCTCAAGGTTAACCAGCTAGTGTGGGCAATCAGAGACAGAACTTGAACTCAGGTCTTTCTGACTCCAGTCACTCCTCTGTATGATCATAGGATCATAAATCTAAAGTTGGTAAATATAAAGACTAAATATTCTCAGCAAGTATTGGGTTAAGTAGGCCGGTGCAGGAATGTAGGCAGTGACATCTATCTCCTTAGAACAAGAGGTAGTCACATACAGAGAAACTGAATCTAGTGAGTCCTGTTTTGGGTAGGCAAAATCAGAAATGACTTCTGGGATTGCTAGTACAGAGGCAAAAAGTGTGAATGGAGATTTGTTGCAAAATGTTGTGTTTAAATAGTTATTCTATGCTTCCTGGAATGAGTTCTTGACCTTCTGGGGCAGTAGCTTTCAAAGCTTTGTCTCTTTCAATCTAGTAGTCTATTGAGTCTGCCCAAAGAAGAAGCAGTTCTTTGTTCTGGGTAGAGGAAGTCTTCCAGGTCTCAGAATAGCCAAGAACCCTCCACAAGATCATTGCTGTTCCGTTCATCCCCTGGGGATAGAGTCTTTGAAAGGTACATTTGCCTAAAACCAATGTCTTAATATGCTACTGATTTTTGTTTTTTTGGGTTTTTGTCTTTCAGAAGAATGCCCACATCCACCTCAAATTGACTTTGCCTCCTTTGAAACGCAAATTTATATGAAGGGCACAATCCTAGACTGTTCCTGTAAACCTGGTTATGATAGGAAGGAAGGCACTCCCTTACTTATTGTGTGTGAAGACACACAAGGGCATCTTTCCTGGAATGATAAGTGTCAGTGTAAGGGTAAATGTAAGTGTTTCTTTTTGTAATTCAACAAGGAAGGAAAACTGTGGTTTGCGTATGGGACCTTCATAATTTTATAAGAATTCTCCAGGTGATCCACAGACTTCTCTCCTCTTATAGAATTTCTGCTAATACAATGATATTTGGGTTTTTGTTTCTGAAAATAATGAATAATTTATTGACAGCTCTTCAGAGACAAAACAATACCTATTTTTATTTAGGTCTACATACTTGGAAACTCCCTCCACCAATGCTGATCAGTAACTCCTCAGTGACAGTCTTAGAGATCTTGCCTGGGGCACTGAAAGGCTAAGTGATATGCTCAAGGTTAACCAGCTAGTGTGGGCAATCAGAGACAGAACTTGAACTCAGGTCTTTCTGACTCCAGTCACTCCTCTGTATGATCATAGGATCATAAATCTAAAGTTGGAAGCACGCTTAAGAGTCATCTTTTACAGATGAGACCCAGGGAAGCTGCAATATCAAAAGTCACGTAGAAATATCATCAGTAGAATTCATTATACCATGTTGCTGCCTCTCAAATGAATCACATCTCACAATGATATCTCCTTCCTTGATCTCCAGTGTGGCTTTCCTCAGCCTTCTCTAGCTTCCAGTTCATGGTGGCTGGTACCACTATTTTTGGCCACTACAAGTATATAGAGGACCAGACTCGGAGTCAGGAAGACCTGGTTTCAAGTCCTACTTCTGACACACTAGCTAGGTAACCATTTTGCAAATTAGTTGTTGATCTGTATGGAGGAAGATATCTTTAGGAATTCACTAGACCAATGAAATGAAAGGTGTGGATGGGGAAAAAAAGAAAGAACGTTCCAATATCCCTTTCTCTTCCAACAAAGCATAAAAATATCTCCATCATTTAGCATTAGAAAACCAAGATAAAGAAAAGTTACAAAATTGGAAGTGTTCAAAGAACAAGTCTCTGTTGCTTCTAATTTCTGATACCAAGTAATAAAAAATTTAGGCACAGGTGTTTTAGAGGCTGCACAGCTTCTGAGGTCTGGAAGGAATCTTATCCTGTCTATTCTGTCAGGTGATTTATTTATAGGTGGCGACAGCAGCCAGTGACCCACACACACAGGAGCACAATAGGCATTCAAAAAAATCTGACGTTTAAACTTCAAGAACTTGGTTCTTTTTCCTGTTTCTCCTAGAAGGATTTCATCTCTGACACCTGCAATCATCAATATTCAAATGATAGTAATTATAAGTATTTGCTTGAGCCGCTACATGTGTCACAAGGCTAAAGTAGCTGTTGGTGCATTTGACTAGTTTGCTAATCACTTACAGTTATAAGTCAAAAGTACTATGTAATAACTACAGCAATGCAATATTTTCACAGATTTGTATGAATTTCTATGTAATTTTCAAGTTTTACATTTGTTTGCTTTTTGTTCACATGTACACTTAGCCCCTCAGAGCCAGGAAGAACAAAGTGTTTCAAGTGCTCCTATTAACCCTGGAGAACAGACAGACAGAACTCAAACAATTACAGACGTCAGGCTTCAAACTTATAACCTCACGGGTAAGAAATGGAGCAGGTAACAATAGAATTCTCTAATTGACTCCTCTCATAAGTACATGACACATTTTCCTTGAAGACTTTGAAGGCTTAAAATATCATATTATCTGTTCACCTCCTCTTAGGATATCACTCATAGAAAGAACTGATTTAATGACTTTTGCAGGAAATGCCTACCACTGTCTCAGACAAATTTAAACTGTGGTAATCTGGACTCAGTGTTCTTCTCGTAGAGGTAATATAGACTTTATCAGTTTGGCATGGTGAACTAACAAAATTGTAAGTTGGAGTTGCACTGTGTTTTTCTTTCAAGTACCAAGTATCAAACTATGAGCAAGAAAGAGTTTAGTTAAATGAAAGTAATAATTTCTTACATGTCAGGGTGATTAAAGACTGACAAGTTATCATAGGAGATGGTGGAAATTCCAGGAAATTCTGGAGATACTTAAAAATCGGAAAGGCAATTATCTTTCTTGCACATCTTAATTATTGAACTGCTTGGAGGCAGGATACAGAATTGAATAATAATTTACAATTTTATAGAATATTAGGTTAACAATATACTTTATTTGCAACAATCTTGTGAAGTAGTTTCACAGATGACCAAACTGAAGTTCACAGAAGCTATCAGTTGTCCAACTTCACAAAACTAGTAAGTTCTATGATTCTATAAGCAATGCTCCTGTCTACATCACCAACTCTGTGACTCTTAGTACCTCCTGTCACCATTAGGCTTTGTGCACCTTTCTACCTGTCCTCCCCGTATCTACCTTAACATGGATCAAAGAAACAAAAAATATAAAATAATTGAAAGTGATTAACTTTTTTGGTCACTTTCATCATCAAAAGGAATCTCCAGTAAAGAAACTCTTTCTACCTACTTATATATTTAGAGAATTGTTTGGTGCACTGAGAGTTTAAAAGCTGTGGGTCACACAGACAGAATGTTTCAGAGGATGAACTTGAACCCAGGTCTTTCTGGTTCCAAGGACACAACATCAACACAATGACTACTGACAGGTTTTTTAGTCTTCTTTCTCTAAACATAGGGTCTTTGAAATTTTTTTTAATATTGTGATAACTATTTCAATTTAATTGATTTCCTTTGAAATGCTGAGTATTTGGTCATGCATTTAAAAGCCTTATTCTGAGAAGAGGTCCACAGGTTTCACCAAACTGTCAAAAGGGATCTGTGACACAAAAAAGCTTAAGAACCTCCGCTTTAAACAGAGCTTTACTCAAACCATCTTTGAAAGCTGGATTCTGTTTCCTTCTTTATATGGGGATGTCCCTTCTCTTACACATGAGAGGCAGAATTCTGTATGTCTGTGTGTGTGTGTCTGTGTGTGTAGAGGCAGAGAGAAGAAGAGAAGGGAGGAGAGAAGAGAGGAGGAGAGAACACAAAGAGGAGAGGAGGGGAAAAGAAGAGGAGAGAAAGAGGGGAGAGAGGGGGGAGGGGAGAGAGAGAGAGAAAGAGAGAGAGAGTTTGACCTTGAAATCAAGGAGACGTGGCTTCATGCTGTCCCTTGGACACAAATTACCTGGGTCCCAGGCACTCACTAAGACTATAAAATTATATGTTACCTCAGATTGATGGGAAATTCCACACATATGTGATATCTGTGCCTAGACTGCCTAGACTGTGTGTATGAGTGTGTATGTGTGTTACAGGGTTAGTTTCCTATGTAACAGGATGACCTGGAACATCAACTTTATAGTTCACACCTCACAGCCTGCCACTAGACTGGTTCTTATATTTAATCTTATCCTTACCTCAAGCATAATCCAGGGGTATGTTTGTACATTTTCTCATTAATAAAATGTCATCATATTACTCAATCAACTAAGGCTCAGAACTCCAGTCCATCATATGTTATTTATTTAATAAACTAGAGAAACCTCTTTTTACAAGGGTAATTATTAATATCTTTCTATATGTTAAATCCTTTAATCTCTTAGGTTTTAATATAAAATTTCTGGATAAATAATTTATTAACAAAGCAAACAACTATAAGACCAATACAAAGATAATTTACAATATTTTAGCTGTGAGAAAGATAAAAGTCAAATTCACGTGAAACCCTTCCTATAACTGCAGATGCCTTCTCTTCACTTATGAGAATATGGTGACACACCATTTAGTTTACTTGAGTTAACAAATAAATCAGACCTCTAGTAAAATGGAATATTCAGTGGAAAAAGCCTTGGACTAATAATACTTATATAGCTGCATGCAAGCATCCTCTCTTTCTCTTCTTTCAAAAAAAGAAAAGACAGATCCCTTTCATCAATGATCCCTTCCTCTTCTTTCTCTCTGTCTTCTCCAACTTATCTCCAGACATAACAGGAAAATAATTTCTTCAGCTTCTCTCAAGTCATAACTCTTAAATGTCTCTTTATAGACTCATTCCTTTATAAATTTCTCCTTATGTTTCCTCAAAAAACAGCAGTTGAGATGGTTTGCTCAAGAAAGAAGTTTCTCCCCATTCTCTTTCTCTATTTTCTCCAAAGTTTCTCCTAAATCGTTTCCTTCATAGATCCTCATAGCCCTAAGTTAAAACTCACATGCATCCTGACTCTAAAGAGACTGACACATCATAGAATGGTAGTAACAATTTTTCTCTGGTCTTAAAAAGATAGTAATAGTTTCTATTGTCTCTTTAGGAGAAGTTTTTGAAATAGGGGTCATATGTAGATAAATATATAGGTAAAATTTATTTAAATAGACATAATATATTTCATTTGAGCCTCATGAGTTGGTCCAAAAGAGATTGTTAGTCTTGCTTGATAAACAGAGACTATCTGACCAAGCACATGTGCTTCAGTGGTATCCATGTGTTCTGAGGGGACCTCCTCCAGGAGATTATCACAGTGAGGAAACATACTTATGCAGCTTGTCACTATATTGTAGTCTGTGCCAACTACTCTTTCCTCCCCTCCTTTCTGGAATGTTTTGGGAATGAGTTTTATTCTAGTAAGTTTTTGCGTTTTAGAATCTCTGGAATCTTAAAATCTTTAAGACTCTACTCAAATGCCATCTTCTGCAGGAGGTCTTTTCTTGTCCCCACAGTTGGTAGTACCTTCCCCACTAAGATTACTTTCCATCTGCTCTGCTTGTATGTTGTGTGTATATATTTACTTATTGTCTGCCCCATTAGAAGGTAAATTCCTTAAGAGCAGGGATTGTTTTTCTCTTTCTTTGTATATTCAGTGTTTAGCACAGCACCTGATAGAACAGAAAGTTTAAATAATTTGTCTGATTTCACTGAGAGAAGTGATAGCAGGTAGCAGCAAGATTGGAACTAGACCTTGGGCCACTTGATCAATGTATGTATGTGAATGTAATAATGTATGTGAAACACTTTATGAAGCAGCTGGTAGCTTAATGGATAGAGCTCAGGAAGATCTGAGTTCAAACCTAGCCTCAGACACTTAGTAGTTGTGTGACTCTAGGCAAGTCACTTAACCTCTGTTTGCCTAAGTTTCCTCAATTGCAAAATGGGGATAATAATAGCACCTACCTCTCAGCTGTTGTTATGAGGGTGAAATGAGATAATGTTTGTTAAAAGTGCTTAGCACAGTGCTTGGCACATAGTAGGTGCTACAGCAATGCTTATTCCCTTCCTTTCCCTACTTTGCAAACCTTAAAGTGCTATATAAATGTTATTAGTTGAAGGCTCTTTCCACTGATAATTCCATTCAATTGTAGATCTAATTTATTTATAGTTTCAATTACAAAAAAAGATAAAAGAATCTAGGTTAGTTGTTACAATATGATTTCTCCATTCTTTCAACTCAATTGAGATATGTATTAAATGTCCACTATGTATAAGGCAATGTATGGGTGCTGAGTAGCAAAGATAATAAGCAGTAGTCTAACCCTCAAGTTTGTATCCCTAGTAATTGGAAAGTGTTGGGAGGTGGGGGGAGTAGGTTGAGCAAGAGCATATACAACATGCACAAAAATTAGCTTTCAAAAATATAACATGTGATAGAGGCACTACAGTTTAGCACTGGAATAACATCTCAAAAATTCATTTAGTTCTGTGTTTTGCATTAACGCATACGGACAATATCATACACATAAATAGTTTTGAAGTTCCTAAAGTAGAACTAAGACAAATTAATGTTCTTCCTACAAGGAAAAAAATAATAAATAGCTGGCTTTGTGAAGTCAGGAATGAATAAGAACCATGCTCCATCTCTATCTACCCTCTAGGTAAAAAGTCAATTACTTGTATTCTCGAGACTACCTTCAATTTCTGCTCAGATTTTTTTTTCTCTTTTTAAGGTCACTGCCTGGAACCTGTACTTTGGAGCCATGCTAGCGAAACAAAGAGTTATCAGTTTGTTGTGGGACAGACCCTTCAATACCAGTGTCTCAAAACATCTAAATATAAGGGTACTGCTGAGAGTACCTGCATAAAGAGCAATGGAAAACTAACATGGACTAAACCACATCTGAAATGCTCCAATGTCAGTTAGTATAGTCCTTTTCCAGTTACCTTTGTGATCCCTACCCTCTCCTCCACTCCTACAACCCACTCTCACCCTAATGTATGGCTTCTCTTACAGCCAGTAGCATGACTTTAGCTTCCCAATCAAAACATTGCAAAGTGTTAACCCAGTATTATCCAGCACAGATTCCTCATTTTGAGGTTCAGTTTAAATATTAGCTAGTTTTGATCAGTCAGATGACCTCTTTGGTGCCTGATCAGTGATTCTGAATGGTTTTACCATGCAGTTTGAACTGGGGCAAGGATGACATGGAAGTGACAGTTCATTAAAGTCACTGCCTTGCTTCCAGATACCCAAGACACAGCAACATCTCCTGCCTTCTGGTTGGACTTCCAAAGTCTCCTGGAACACAAGAGCCACCTTTCTTTCTTTCACTCTACCCAAATTTGTCAACCAATTCAGATTCTGGTGACCATTATCTACTAACCCTTAGAATATTCATTCTCTCTGTGTCTCTCTGTCTCTGTCTGATTCTGCCTCATTTCTCTCTCTCTCTCTCTCTCTCTCCTCTCCCCAATCTCTGCCCTCATACTAGGGAACTTACTGCTGATATTCCCTCAAATACTCTGACTTCTCAGTTCCTCAATCTATTCAACTCCCATGACCTACCCTTCCTTTCTACTCAGCTACATAAAGAGATGTTCACATCTTTGATTATACTATTTCACTTTCATGTTCAAGAACTCTGAAATTCTGTTATCTGATTATGATCTTTTATCATTATATCTATCCCCATGCCTTAATACTATTAATCCTATTCTAGTCTTATATTGACCTCCACTCTCTCTACCCTTCAGTACTTTCTCAAGCTATTACCTCTACTCTGGCTATACTCTCTTCCCTTCCTAATCTCAACTTGGTGGTGAACCAATTTCACTTCACACTATCTTCTGCTCTTGAAATCCTTGCTCACTTGTCTATCCTCACTCATGCCCTTCCAAGACCCAATCTTGGATTAGTCTCGCCATCCAACCTTGTATCCCACTCATGTGGGCTGGGCTGGAAGAATTTTGAGAAATTATGCTAACTAGGCCCACTACATATTTATGTTCTCTAATCTCAACTGCCCTAACTAGCAATAAAGCAAACCTTGTACTCCTCCCTTATTGATTCTCTACCCCCACTCAACCCAAAGACTTTCCCAGATCTTCTCTCTTTAAGCTTCCCATACTATTCTCTTTCCCCACCCTCTTAGCTGAAAAAGTTTTAGTTCAGACAAAAAAAGGGCTTATTTTTCTCCTCTTCTTATCTTAACCCCACCCCTTACATCATTGCTTCATTACTTCATCCCCCCCACTATATTTCCCTTCACTTCAGCATCTGATGATGAGATGGCCTTCTTGCCATAGGGCAAGATATGCCCCCTTGATTCCATCATCTCTCTTTATCTCCAATAGACTGCCCCACTATCATCCTATCATTATCACTCTGTCTCCATCTCTCTCTGTCTCTTTCTCTCTCTCTCATCAGAGACTCATTCCCTTTTCCATACAAATAAATTCTCTACCATCCCTAAAAAATAGTCACTTATTCCTACTATAGTCACAGACTTTTATCTTTTATCTCTCCTCTCCTGAGTTTTTTTTTGAAAACCAGTACATTAGGTACCTCTACTTCCTCTCTTCTTGCTCTTCTAAACCTCTAAAATTTCATCATTCTAACCTCATCATTCAACTGAAAATTCTCTCTTCAATGTTACCAATAAAATCTACTGACCTTTTCTCAGTCCTCAATTCTTCCTGACCTCTCTGAAATATTTGGTGCAACTGACCACCTTTTCCTGTATATTACTCTCTAGGTTTTTGTAAAACTGCTTTTTCTTGATTTTCTTCCTACCTTTTTGACTGTTCATTAGAGTTTGCTTTATTGGATCTTCACCCACTTGACACTCACTAACTATGGATGTCCTCCAAGGTTCTGTGTTTGGCCTATTTCTCTTTTATCTCTATAGTCTTTCCTTTAGTGACCTTAACAGCCCTCATAAATTCAATTATCAGCTCTAACCACATGACTCCTATGTCTATATCCAGCTCTTTGTCTTTCTCCTAAGCTCCAGTTCTGCATCACTATCTGGCTATTGGATATTTTGAACTTATCAAACCATATCAAACTTAACATATCCCAAAAAGAACTGATCATCCCCCCCCTTCCCAAACTCACCCCTCTTCCAAACTTCCCTCTCATTGAGAAGACTGTCACTATCCTTACAGCCACCCATGTAAGCAACCTGGGTATCATTTTCAAATCCGTACTCTCACTGACCTCACACAGAACAATTTGTTGCAAAATTTTGTCTCCCCAATATCACTTGCATACATCCCTTTTCCTATATTAACACATAGTTCAAGTCTTCATCACTTTTCTCCTGGAATATTGCAATAACCTCTTCTCTTTACCTCAATACTCACCCCAAACCATCCTCAACACAAGTGCCAAAGTGATTTTCCATGGAGAGACAATATTGATTGTAATACTAGGAAACAGAAAGTGAAAAGTGATTTACTTAAGTAAACGCCCCTAGCAGGTACATTGTGATATGTCAGTAAACCCTAAAGACCGACATAGTTGATCACACAGTGTAAAGGTGCAGCCAACCCTTCTATTTCCAAGAAACCTCAATAGAGAGGGAAATGTAACAGGCATCAGTACCCTTGGCTTTGCTCTGATTTCATTTATGCAAGGCTTTAAGGGAATAAAAAGTAGTTACTCCTCATGAAAAGGTAAAGGATCCTTAGCCTTGAAGACAAAGTGTGACAACTACTAGAACATTAGAAGGAGGGAACTAGATCCATTGTCCACCTTCCTACCTCTCTTTACCAGACCATTGAACTTCTATTCTATTCATGAACCACATTATAGTACTATTTGATATAATTAGGATAACATAAACTCTTTCCCACCTGTCACAGTTCCTAGAAAACATACTCAACAATTCTTTTTCACAGCTTCCACTGAAACATCTGTACCATCTTCGTTTACTATAGAACATAAAATAGCAGGTAGGTCAAATTATTTTATGAATAATACTTGTATCTTAAGAACAGTTATTAAACATGTAAAAAGCACCCACTCTAGGTAGTGAGTAATATTTGTTAAAGTTAAGGACAGATCCTGAGCCTAGCATAGTTCATATTGAGACATAACTTTTTATGATTAAGTTCTCAAACTATAGTAACCACTTGCTGGAAATCTAACTTGAAACAGCAGAAAGGCCAGGAGATATTTAAATGTGATAGATGGAACAAGGGTAAATATAACTGAAGGCAAGAGTGATGGTGAGGTGAGAATATGACTCATATTAGAGAATATGATTCATAATAGAGAACCAGAGAAGTAACATTCTACAATTGTTAACCTTCGTTTTCTGGTCAGGAAAATCTGACCCATAAGACTACATCTGTAAAAAGTAGAATAAACCTGGGACTATGGGAATAATTTATGAAGGCAATGACACTGTATTTGGCAAACAAAAAAGTTAATCATTCATAGGAATATTGAATGATTCTTGTTAGATCAAGAGTTACCTGAAAATTAATTTCCTTATTTCTATAGGGTGACTAGCATTCTTCTAGTCACCTGAGTTGGCAACCAAAAAGTCATCCTCAACTCTTCATTCTTAGTCACCCCCCCATCTAATCAGCTGCCAAGTCTTGTTGATTGCACTTTCTCAACATCTCTTCCCTCTATTCCCTTCTGTCTTCACAACCTCCATGCTAGACCAAGCCCACATCATTTCATTTGAACTATCACAAGAGCTTCCTGACTGATTTCCCTGAACACATTCTCTCTCATCTAACCTCCTCCACACAACTACCAAACTGATATTCTTAAATTCCAACAATTTTTTTCCACAGCTTCCACTGAAACATCTGCACCATCTTCATGTACTACAGAATATAAAATAGCAGGTAGGTCAAATTATCGTTTGTATGATATCATATCTTAAGAATAGTTATTAAACATGTTAAAAGCACCCATTGTATGTAATGTTTGTCAAAGTTAAGGACAGATCCAGACTCTAGCAAAGCTCATATTGAGACATAACTTTTCATGATAAGTTCTCAAACCATAGTCAATCAGTTGCTGAAAAGCTAACTAGAAACAGCAAAATGCCCTTTCAGACCAGGAGATATTTAAGTGTGATAAATGGGACAGGGGTAAATATGAGTGAAGGCAAGAGTGATGGTGAGGTGAGAATATGAATATGAACCAGAGAAGTAACATTTTACAATTGTTAACCTTTGTTTTCTGGTCAGGAAAATCTGACCCATAAGACTATATCTGTAAAAAGTAGAACAATCCTGGGACCATGGAAATAATTTATGAAGGGAATGACGCTGCATTTGGCAACCAAAAAAAAAGTTAATCATTCCTAAGAATGTTGAATGATTTTTGTTAGATCAAGAGTTACCTGAAAATTGACTTCCCTATTTCTATAGGGTGATCAGCATTCTTCCAGTCACCTGAGTAGGCAACCAAAAAGTCATAATTTTCATTCTTAGTCACTCATTCCCCCGCATCTAATAAGTTGCCGAGTCTTGTTGATTTCAGTTACTCTATTTTTCTTCCATCTATTTCCTTCTATCTGTTTGCACAACCTCCATGCTACACTAAACCCACATCATCTCATCTGAGCTATTGCAAGCACTTCCTAACTGGTTTCCCTGAACATAGTTTCTCTCATCTATCCTCCTCCGTACAACTACCAAACTGATATTCTAAAATCCCAACAACTTTTTTCCACAGCTTCCACTGAAACACCTGTATCGTCTTCATTTGCTACAGAACATAAGATTGCAGGTGGGTCAAATTATTTTGTGTATAATACTTATATCTTAAGAACAGTTATCAAACATGTTAAAAGCACGCATTATAGGTACTATGTAATGTTTGCCAAAGTTAAAGACAGATCCAGACTCTATCATAATTCATGTTGAGACATAGCTTTTTATAAGTTTTCTTAAATCTCAGTTTTGACATAAAGCATAGGTCACTCACCAGAAGTTTTTGAGGTACCTTATTGTCTCTAGAGTACAAACTCCTCTGTTTGACCTTTAAAGTCCTTCAAAACATGCTTCCAACATATCCTTCGAGTCTAATTACACATTATTCCCCCTCACATACTCTACCTTCCAGGCCAGTTGACCTACTTGCTGTTCCATGTACTTGACATTCTATCTCCTGCTCTACCTCATGCTTGGCATGCTCTACCTCACCTCTACCTCTTGGTTTCCTTCAAGGCTCAGCTCAAGTGCCACCCCCATCAGGAGGTCTTTCTTGATTCTTCTGATTCTTAGTGCCTCCCCATATCACTTTTCTTGTATTTTGTATATGTCTGGTATTTACTTCTACAAAATTTGTGATTTTCTCCTCCACTCCCCACCCCAAGTAAAATTTAAGTTGCTTGAAGACAGGATTTTAGTATTTGTATTCTCAGCATCCAGAACAGTGCCAAGCTTGTATAGTTGCTTAATAAATGCTTATTAATTGGAAATGAAATTGGATACATAATTTTGCCAATATATTAATGAAATAACATAAGTGAAATGAAAGAAATAATTCTTAGTTATGCATTGTTATAGGGTAGTTTTTATAATGGTAGTGTTCTATTAAATTTGAATAAATTCATAAAATATAAAATAAATATATTAGTAAATATTATTCCATTCAACAAATACTTAGGGTAACAAGTAAAAGGGCTAACAAAATAATAGAACACTAAAAAACCATTGGTTTAATGGATTCAATGTGACAGTTACACATCAAAGATGATAACATATACCTAGGGACAGCCAATAGTCAGGTGTTTGTCTTACACCTACCTCTCTTTCCCCACCCTCTTTAAACTTTCCATTCCCTACTAGCATCTATCTTGAGGCCCAAGATCAGCTTACTGTTCATCAGCCCTGATATCTGTGAGAAGACAGGGACTGGTTTCACCCTGGGAATTAGTTTGATACCAGTAAATGTGAAAAGTAAAGTTAAGATCTCTGAGCTGGCCTTGGCTGGGTTCTACGCTTGGCTAGACCCTACTCATCACCTCCCTTCCCATATTGGCATGACTCCCTGCCTTTCTTCCTGGCCAGACTTTGAGGGAGGTGACATGAATAGGCTTTGCCATAGGCTAGTTCAGCCATCATGAGTCTGGATGGCATTGGTTTAAGTAATGTACAGCATTGGAAGAGGGAAATAAGCTCAAGATTAATAGGCCTGAGCTTAGTATACTCTCAATCCTGGTGTGCTGGACCTCTGAACCTTTCTACATTGTCTTCTCTCAGCCTTCACAAGTATGGCATAGTAGGGATGACACCACCACATTTTCCATGGAAAAGCCTTCTCCTCAACCCTGCCTTGTTAGCTTCTAAGAGGGCCAGTAGAGAGAACCTGAATTTTTTGCTCTACTCAAAGTTGGACAAGGAAACCACAATCAATCAATCAATCAATAAGCATTTCCTTCTTTGGGGAGTCCTTGCCTAAATGCCTAATTGTAAAGGAGATTTGCCTAGCCTACCAGGCTCAAGCTAGCTACTACTTCCTATAAGCTAATAAACTTAATTTTGTATTGTATCTCCTCAGCAGTTGCTGCTTGTATTTTCCTGATGAGTTTTGTAATCTTCCTGGTCTGGATCACCTGGAGGAAAAGATGGTAAGTCAAGTACTAACACAAACATTTTCCAGAACTGGAAAAAAACTTAAGAATAGAAAACAGTAATGGACCTTGTCAGCTACAAATATAACATCAATCAATCAATCAGCAAGCATTTATCAATCCCCTACTATGTATCAATCATTTTGGTAAGCGCTAAGGATAATAACACAAAAATGAGATAGTTCTTGTGAGCAAAGAATTTATACTTTTCAGGAAATATACATGTTCCCAGATACGTAGACAGAGGTTATATGTACAATAAGTACATAAAAATGAGGGAGGATAAATGGTACTGACATTTGTAGAAATCAGTAAAGGCCTCCATACATTTGAGCTGGCCTTGAAGAGAGATAGAGATTCCAAGAAGCGGATATAGAGATGAAAGATCATTCCAGACATAACAGACAGCTTTTGCAAAGCCACAGAGGCAGGAGATAGAACATCCCATACAGAGAGTAGCAAGAAGGCCAATTTGGCTAAAGTATAGAGTGTGTGAAAAGGAGTAATGTATTGGCATCCTAGAAAGAGGGGAAGGGAGGAGTTTAGATGAAGAGCAGAAGCACCACTCAGGAAGAACTGTTAACAAAACTTCATTGCTACTAACACAGAGGAAAACAGAAGCCAATGGGAAACAGTCTTGGTTAGAGGCCTCCATTGCCCTTTGGTAGCACAACAGTGGGATATGGTCCCCAGGCTAGCTCTTCTCCCAGGACGTGAGGGCTACAGAGCGTGTGTCCTAATGACTATCAAATGGCCAGATGGGAGAAATAGACATTTTCTGGGTCTCCTTGACATTGAAACCCAAATGATTGTAGTACCAGGATGCTTTCAAGGGTGTGAGGTCAGGAGAGAGGGAAGATATCTAAGATATGTCTTCTTCCCTTACTTTGAAGGGAGGGGAAAACTACAGGGCTGTAAGCCAGAGATTCCATTCTAGCAGAAAACAAACTTCCCAAGCTATCTCTACCTCCTTGTCCTCTTCTTCCTCCCTCCTGTTCCTCCTTTTCCTCCTCTCTCCTCTTTCATCTCTTCCTCCTTCTTCTCCTCCTCCTCCTCTTCCAAGGTACTCAGGGTTCCCCTGTGATCTGTTCTAAAGTTGAGCTTGTCTGGATCCTCCTTGCCCCAATCTTCTGTCAGGAATGGAAAACCTGTGGCCTTCTAGGTCCTTGGGTGCAGCCTTTTGACTGAGTCCAAGTTTTACAGAACAAATCCTTTTATTAAGGAGATTTGTTCTGTGAAGTTTGGATTCAGTCAAAGGGCTGCACGTGAGGATCTAGAGGGCTACATGTGGCCTCAGGGACAAAAGTTCCCCACCCCTGTAAAGTTTATACCATTTATCCTGCTTAACCAACTACCTAACCTCCTTCATGTTCTCCCTATATTGAGGCTGCCTGGGGGTAGGGGTGTGATGGCCCTACATCTCTATATTTCTGCCATAAGAAGGTATTAGGGGCTATGTCCTATTGTGGGGGGAGGGGGAAGTCTATGATCTAGCAACCATCACCACATGACCTTCTGAGAAAGAGCTTCTGAGGGAATTCCCTGACTCTGATTGCTGTTTTCTGACTTCCCAATCCCAGAGTCATCTCTCAAAGGAATCCCAATCCTCACCCCAGTTGGTTTCCAGTCTATAAGCAAAACATTTTCTACCTTTATCCCCTTCTCCTCCCTGGGTCCTCCTAGTCCCCATTTTCTTTGCCCACTTCCCTTACATAATGATCAGCAGTATCTATCTACTTGTCTAGACTGCAAAACAAATGGGAAGGAGGGAAAAGAGGTCTTGGCTGCTTCCTGATTCCCCACTAACAGCAAGTAGTTTTAAGCAAGTGCTTAAAAGAGCCTTACCCTTTTTGCCTGAAAGGCTTCTTATCGGTTAACAAAATATTGCTACCCATCTCCCTTTCCCTCCCTCGGTCACTGGGAGAGGAGGATGTAGAAGAGAAGCTTCCCCCACCTACTGTTTGTAAATCTCTTTGATAGCAGCAAAAAGAAGTCTGACCTTACCGCTACTGTCACATGAGTCAGGCACAAGAACAATGCAAGTTCTCTCTGCATTCTCACCACTTTTTGCAGTCAGCTGATTGGCAATTGCTGGACAGATTAGAATTGGTTTTGAGTTTGCCTCTATTGTTCCTTCCTCCTGGGTAAGAGCCTCTGTCATTGTGATAAGCAGTTAGGGATAGAATCTTCTGCTCCCTTGAGGTTAATTTCTTATCCCAGGAAAATTAACTTTAACACTGTCATGAAAACAAAAGAATGAGGGGAGGGAGGCAGGTAATTCCAGGTCTCTGAGTTTATTAACCTTAGCATAAATGCATTTGGGGTGGGTTGGGGAGTGGAGAGCTGAGGTTGGACCAGTAAAACCAGTTTTCACCAGCTCAGATAGGCTGGTGCTAGACTATGAAGAGCTTTAAAGGCCAAGTAGTGGAGTTTATATCTTAGGGGCAATGGGGAACCATGGTTGTTTCTTTAATAGTCGAATGACATATTCAGACCTGGGCTTTAGGGCTTATGGTTTTGGCAGTAGTGTGGAGAATGAAATGACAAAGGCGAGAGATTGAATATGGAATAATCAATTAGGAAGATATTACAACAATACAAGTGAAAGGTGATGAAAAGAATTGAGTGAGTGGAAAGGAGGGGACAGATGTGAGAAATGTTGAAGAAGTGTAATGAACAAGATCTGACAATTGATTGGGAGAGAAGCTATTATAGTTTAAAGAGTGTTGTATTTGAAATGCGGGAATTGTAGGTGTTCATATCCTAAATCTCCCATTTACTACCTATGTGACCTTGGGGAAATTACTGAAGGGCTGCTAACAATGGTAATGCGAAATGTCTAGAAAAGTCTAGATCCTTTAAGAAATACCCCCAGAAAAGATTTTAAAGAGCACCAAATGAAGAAATGATACAATAAAAAAAAAAAAAGGAAACATCAGTAAACACCTCCATCCATTCTAAGACAAGAAGATGGCGAGAGGCCTGTGTGTGCTTTCTTTAAGTATATGTTAGAGTCCTAAAGTCAGCATGAATGAATTCCCCTGAAGCCAGTGCAATCTCAGTGCTAAACTGTCAGAGACATATCAGTTGCTAAAGCCAGCTCCAAAAAGATAGAGATAGGACAGAGCCTTCTTAGGCAGCTGATGCTGGGATTCCCAAGGAAGCATGTACCCAGTGTGATTTCAAATTTCAGATATATTATTTGTCCTGTGAGCAATTCAACAAGGGAAAAGGCCAACTACCATTTGGTGACTGAGCACAACAGGAATGAGACCGAGGCAAAAAAGAGACCGGCATCTTTGGTGGATTACTAGAGGATGATGCGAAAGACAGGACTTGGTAGTAGCTACAGATCTAGCTCCTTATCCCAGGTTAGGATTGTGGAAGAAGGCAGGGAGGGAGAACTAGGATGTAGCTTCCCCATCTAAAAGTATAGGATAGGATAGAACCTGGCAAAGCACAAAGTCATGATCGAGGAACTGAGACTAGAGACGTGAATGTAATAGGGAAATAACTAAAAGGACCCCAGTCCTGGTAATATGTGGGCATTACCCACCTGGATGTTTGATGGGCATACTTACAGAGCTTGTAATGATGTAAAATTCCAGAAGCCAGTTCACCAAACTTCCAATGGGTCTCCTGAACGTGTTGCCAGGATTGGAATACTATTAGTTAGTCTCCCGTTACATGAGTAAATGGAAGAAAACTCTTAACATGTGAAGAAATATTATGGGATAACAGAAGTCCAAAAGGTAAACCCAGAAGAAGAGAGTAACTCTAAAACAAGTAACAAATAGAACCCCTGAAAAAAGAATGGCTTGGCCATAAGAACTCCAAGAGTGGATGAAGGCAATAAAGCAGAAGATTGAATTAAAAAGGTGACATATACAAATGATATTGTGGAGACAAGATTTGGCAACTAATTTTCTGTATGGGTTTAGTGACAATGAGGATTTTAAAATGATACCCAGTTTTCTTACATGGGTGGCTAAAAGAATGATGTTCTTCTCAGTGAGAAGGAAGTTTGGAAGAGATGTGAGTTTGGCAATGCACCAGAAGAATATACAAATAGGGAAGTGCAGGCTGGGGAGTGCAGACATCTCATCAACCACACCCTTATTTAAACCTGGCATGAATTTAGTGTGAAAATACATTAAATTCAATGGGAGGATAGGGACAGAGAAAGGGAGAAGGGGGGAGGAAAAGAACATATTCAAAAGTATAACTGATTCTAGCTATGGAGGGCAGATTATAAACAGGGATTAAAAGGAGAGAGAGAAAAAGAATCAGAGACTGGGATATGAGCTAAAAGGAAAGGAGGGGCAGAGAAATGGGACAGTTATACATTATTAGTGTAGATTCTATTCTCTTTTTTTCTTTATTTTCTTTGAAGGGAGGTAAGAAAGGAAAAATTGTAAGATGATATGATGGAGGAAAACACTAATTAACAATCATAACAATGAATGTGAATTCATAGAATGGAAGATATAAAATTAGAAGAATCCATCAATATATTATTCACAAGAAAAACACAAAACATAAAAATTTGAAAAGAGATAAAATTAAGGTTGGAGAATAATTAATTATGCCTCAGTTGAATTCAAAGAAGCAGGAATGGCAATCATGATCTCAAACACGGAAATAGTAAAAATAAACATCATTTGAAGAGATAAACAGGGAAATTACATTATACTTAAAGGTACCATAGCTGATTAAATATATGTGTACTTATGGAAAAAACTAATCAAGCTACAAATAGAAATAGACAATAAAACTATAAAACATTGAGAGTGATGTCAACATTCCCCTTTTGGATCTATATAAATGTAACAAAAAGATAAACAAGAAAGTTGTTAAGAACCTGAACAGTATCCTTATCTCCCTCCCTTCCTTCTTCCACAATCCTAACCTGGGATAAGGAGCTAGATCTGGAGCTACTACCAAGCCCTGTCTTCTGCATCATCCTCTAGTAACCCACCAAAGATGCCAGTCTCTTTTCTGCCTCAGTCTCATTCCTCTTGTGCTCAGTCATAGTTAACAAGCATTTCTTTTCTTTCTCTTCCATCCCTTCTACCACTACCACCACCACTGGGGGGAAAAAAAGGAAAAACCAAACCCTTGTAACAAATATTCAGAGTCATGGTGACATCATAAACAAATTAGAGGAGCAGGGAAAAAATTATCTTTCAAGTGTATAGCTAGGGGAAGAGTTCATGGTGAAAGTAAGGGAGGAGAAAATCACACAAGATAAAGTGAACACTCTTGATTACATAAAATTTTTAAAGTTTCAAACAACCAAAACCAATACAGTTAAAATTAGAAGGTAAATACATAACTAGAGAAAATCTTTGCAGCAAATTTCTCTGATAAAAGTCTCATTTCCAAGATATGAGAATTTATAAGAATAAGAGCTATTCTCTAATAGATCAAAGGATAATGGCAGTATTCAAAGGAAGAAATCCCACCTATTAAGAAACAAATGAAAAAAAGCTCCAAACCACTAATAATTAGAGAAATGCAAATTAAAGCAACTCTCAGGTTCATTCTCACACATATTAGGTTGACAAAGATAAAAAAAAAGAAAACAGCAATTGTTGGAAGTGTGGTGTGGATACATGCATAGTAGTATACTGTTGATGGGACTGTGAATTGGTTCAGTCATTCTGGAAAGCAATTTGAAGATGTGCATCTCCTTTGACCCAGCAATACTACCACTAGGTCTATGCCCTAAAGAGATCAAAGGAAAAGAAAATTATGCATATGTGTAAAATATGTGTAGCAACTCTTTATGTAGTGGTAAATACCTGGGAACTAAAAGGGGGCCCATCTACTGGAAATGGCCAATCAAATTATACACAAATATATTAGAATTGTACCATAAGAAATTACAAAATAGTTTCAGAGAAACCTGGAAAGAACTGTGTGAACTAATGCAGTATGAAGCGAGCAGAATTGGTAGAAAAACTTATATAATAATAAAAGAATAAAGAAAAACAGCTTAGAGGGCAGCTAGGTGGTGAAGTGGATAGAGCACCAGCCCTGCATTCAGGAGGACCTGAGTTCAAATCTGGCCTCAGACACATGACACTTACTAGCTGTGTGATCCTGGGCAAGTCACTTAACTCCGATTGCCTCACCAAAAAGAAAAAAGAAAAAAAGAAAAACAACTTAGAAAGACAGTCAGTTTTGGTCTCTACTCTAGTGAGTCACTGAAGATTTATGAAAACTTATGACCAAATATTGTCAGTGTCCTGATAATAACAGTATCCTGGAATGGAATTTGAAACTAGACTATGTGTAAAATTTTCATTTTAATTTCTTCTCCTTGTAATGAGGATAGAGAATAGCAATTTATCTGGAATTGTATTATATTATTTTGCATAACTGTGCTTATATTGTGTTACTGCAGGAGAAGAAGACGGCAAACTGCCAAAGAAAAGACCAAAAAAAGAGAAGTAAGAAGTCAACAATATTGTGGCAAGAATCACATGCCTGACCATCCTGTAGGACTCTTGTCTGCTTAGTGTGCTAGAAGCCATTCTTGTTTTTCCCTGACATCCCAAGAAGCAACCACATAAGCTAAATGTTCACCTATCAAGCCAATATTAATGGCAGCAAATCTTTCAGAAATGTCAGTTACTGACATATTTGATCCCCTGACTTAGAAGACACAGCTCTATAGTTATATCAAAAACAATCAGGACTGTTTTACAGAATAAATTTTGTGCTCCATCAGCTTCTAAACACAGTCCATCTTGATCCATCTGTTGTAAAAAGCTGGTGAGCTCTCTATTAGCATGGCCTAGTAGAGATATAGGAAAAAATAGAGCCCTTCGCTAGCCTAAAATAATAACTTTCCTTTGGGTGTCAAATCTGATTCCATTCATTCAACAAAATGTTTATTAACCAATGGCTATGTACTGTGCTAAGGCTTGATGAGATACAAAGGTAAATAAGATTTTATAAAGATAAAATAAAATTTTGATTTGGTTGTGGGGTGAGAGAGAAAGGACATGAACACACACACCCCTCTAAAGCTTACTGATATTTTTCCAATTTTAATGCATGTCCTTTTCATTCTCAAGGGGGTGGAATAATGACTAATATGTTTGACCTGACTTCCCAGGCTTAAGAACAAATGAGAGGAGAATACCCATTTTTAAACCCGGATCAACTGTTTAACTCCTAATTCCTCATCTCTAGCCTTGAAACTTTTAGCACAAATAAACCATATGATCTTCCTTCTCATCTCCAGTATTTAGGTATGTCTTTCATTCTTTTCCCATACCCAGGGCACTCCCTCTTATTCCCTTTGTGTTCTTTTCTTGATCTTTTTTAATATATTGCCTGTCAATATCTATATCTCAGAACTGGAGGAAATGATGAAGAAGCAGAAGCAAAGGGAGGGGAAGTGATCACATTTGTGTATAATTTGATTGGCCATTTCCAATAGATGGGCCCCCTTTTAGTTCCCAGGTATTTACTACTACTTAAGGTTACAAAAAAAGTTTTAAAAGCAAAACTAGAACTATAGCTCCTGTCTTACAGTACAACCCTGTTGCCACCATTTATTTAGTGGATGTCATGTCTGAAACTTAAGATTAATGAGGGAACCTCCAGGGCGTACCCTCGGAGGAAGCCCGTCAACTCGGGCAGTGAGGGCTACAAGGGGGTCCACTGGTCCAAGGAATGCCCCTCCAGGGCACCCCCCCAGAGGGAGCCCCCACGACCAATGCCTCTGGGACTGTGCCTAAGATGTGACCAGGAGGGACATTGGAGGAAGGATTGTCCATGAGGTTGGAAAAATGGTGGAGTCGCCCCTCAATACCCCATTCTCCAGTCTTCTCAAGACTGGGAATGACAAGGGAGCCTGGGGCTTGATAGCACTCCCACTTTCTCCATCTCTCTCACCAAGCCCTGGGCAAAATTGAAGGTAAGGTTGCCCACTTTATCTTTGCTATGTTCTCTGTTCTACTCTAGCCATACTTGCCCCTCTGCCTGTCGGGTCATGGGCATTGAAGGGATACCCTCTCCCTTGCCTACTTGAGGATCTGTTGTTTGAACACTCCCTCTTTATGCTGTCCTCTTGCCCTTCTCCTTTGTTGGGAAGGAACCTGATGGTGAATTTGGGGAGCCAATCTTCTCTAGTTAAACCTCCTATCTCCCTTTTCCCTCTGTACACCAGACCTCCCCGTGTTCCCTAGAAGTGTGAGAGACAGTTAAGGCTAAATTTTTTGGCATCAGGGAATTATGTCAAGCAACTTGTTATAATTTGGTTACCGCTAAAATAATTTGGCTATTTTAGGTTATTGTATTAATGTGTAAACTTGCCAAAAACTTGTTTGGGTTTTGTATAGAAATCTCTAATGATTGGCTTTTTACACCAGGACAAATTTAAGTTTGAGATGTATATCCTGGAAAAGTTTTTCCTAAGCTGTGATTAGTAAAACTTGATGTTTGAGGTAAAAGTTCATAGGATTTTATTTTGGGTTGTCTGATGGGTCATAATCCATCTATAATCAATAATCCACCATCTGAGAGAAATGCCACAAGCTACTCAAAGACAATGTGATACCGGTGGGAAGTCAGCATAGGGAAAAAGCTGAGAGGACAATTTTAGCCTCAGTCTAAGATGGGATCCTCCTGGCTCAATTTCCCCATTATATTGCTTTGAAAGGGAATGTTACCCACCTGGCTATTCCTGAGTCTGGCTATGAGGTGGATTTGATACTGCATGGTTGGAAAACTCAATTATTTGAATCTGAACAGAGCTAAGGTCCTAAATCTAGTCCCTGCTTTATATCTGGGCCCTGCAGTTTTTTCTGTCAGATTTATGTGTTCCAGACTATGGGCCATTCACCTACAGTTGGCAGCAAACAGCAAGTACCCGTCAATGTCCCCCTCATCATTCCCTGGATACAGCCTGTGCTCGGTTCCAGTCAACCTCCTCTTTGGGACCCCCTCGAGGCAGGGACAGCTCTACACCCCTTGCCAGCAGGAAGCAGTTTCAGAAGCCGAGACCTTCGCCCCTTACACCAAAAGAATTTGGGTCCCATTTGTTTGAGGGGGGAATGATGGGGTTGGGATCTGGGCCCCAGAAAGGAAAAACCCTGGACTTTTCCACATGGCCAAATCTCTGGAGTTCCCTGAGGCTATCATCCCTTCAACTAGCCTCTCACTGTGACTACACCCAATCTCCCCTCCATTGTCTTACCTCCCTATGGCCCCTGGCCATTTCCCACCCTTAATCCTAGCTAGGCTCCATTTTCCCTTAGCCACGAGGTCCAGGTCCCAGGAGTTCTGTTCACCCCAGCTTACTAGTCACTTCCATCCAGATCTCATTAGGCCCTTCCCCCCCTTCACCCCAAACTATTTGGCCACTCCTAGATTCCTCCCACAGTCTTTCTGTATATAAGGTTGATCTTGTCTCTATTAAGATGCTCTGATTCTTAGAATCTAGCCACTAACCCATAGATGCTCAGATTCCTTAACAGTCTATCCAATATGGCAAATCTTCAAGAAACCTTGTTTTTGACTGAAAAAAAAAAAAAGATTGATGAGGGAAAAGATAAGAATCATCCAGAGATGACTTACCTACACACTACTGTAGTTTGTTTTTATGAATGAAGATTTGTTAGCTAATAAATAGGATATTCCTCAAAACTATATAGAGTGTAAAGAAAAGATGCTCCTTTGGGATTTGCCTTACTTTTGCCCCAACTTCCTCATACAGAATGACACAACCAAAGAAAACCCCAGCACAAATAAGTGATACCTGACCCTTTTGCTCCAATTCACCCCACCCCTTGACTACTTGCCCTAGTTTCTGTAGACTTTTTGAGTAAAGATTGTTTTGTTTTCTATTTGTATCCTCAGTCCTGGCACACCGAGTAGAGCTTAACAGGCATTTTTAAAATGTTTGATTATTAATGAATTGATGGTAAACATACTAAAAGCCGCAGACAAATGACTTTTCAGTTTTTCCTTTTTAGCTTACAGTTCCTTTTTTAGCTTGATTCTACCTAGTCTTCATGGGGAATGGCTACTTAGATTATAAACTCCTAGAAGGCAAGTGACATGGCTTGATAATTTTATGTAGCATCCAGCACAGTACTACATCCATTTGGGCACTATGATTATGATAATAGAAATTTAAGACTCAAAGGATCTTAAATGGTTATCATTGGGACTAGACTATAACTCAAATACAGCAATGTATCTGTGATGTCATTGATTTTAATGTTCCTTCTAATCATAAAGCTCTCAACCCATTCAAGTTTGCCCATCCTATGTGACTCTTGCCTATGTCTTCCCATAAGTTTGCTACACAAGGTCCACTCAACATGCCAAAGGCCTTTTTTTTTTTCCTGACATCCCAAAGATATCAGTGAAATACTCAGGCTATCCTCTTATAATCCTTTACCCTCAGCAGGTGACTGACTAGAATATGTGAAATATAAACATAAACTAAGTCAATCAATTGGTTAATTGTTGGGGACAGGATCTACCTGTAAAATCTCTAAACTATTAGGGGTCAGTACAGGTAAAGGCAATGGCCTTCTCTGGATCATCTGTCCTTGACTATACCCTGGACTTGCTTTGCTGCTGAGTAAACATCTACTGAGACCCTTGGGAAAGCCCATAGTCACAGGTAAACAAAGAAGTCTTAGAATAGACAATTAACCTTCACCCTGAAGTGATGCTCCTCTGGCATCTTATCTAGTGAGAACTTTGTATCTTTAGCTCTTGCTCTTGGGATATTGTAAATCATCATTCACTTTTATGTATAAAAGTTCAAGCCTTACTAGAAATAAACAGTCCTGTGGCTGATCACCCTTGACTCGCCTAGCCCGGCTTTTTCCCTCTTTATTTTTCTGCACTACGTCGTTCTATGCCAGCTGCTGGCAGTTAATTGTACTTCTCTGACAGTATTTGGCTAAATCAGAATGTATGGTAAGACTAACATTGACTAACATACCTGGCAGAGAACACTTCTTAGCAAATGCGTAAGTTGGAGTTCTTTTTGGTTTCATAACTTTACTCCATTCCTAAATGGTCCTTGGTAGAACCAGCATGGATCCAACAAAGTTTCCAATCCAAAGCTCACCTTGGGCTCAAGTCCTAGGAATCCTGGCTTCTTTGCTAGGCTGGCTGCAAATTCAGGCCTGAAATCTTGCCTCCAACATTATCATGGCTCAAGTCCAGATCCAGGGACTCTAGCACCCGTGCCTAGAACTAAAAAGAACAAGCAAAAAAACAAAAAAAAAACAAGAAAAAAACCTAAGCTCATTTCTTAGAGGCAAAGAGTCTGACGGGGGGAGCCACGATGTGAGTGAACAGGATATTTTCCCTTTGAATGCCACCAGAAAGAATGTCTGTCTGGTAGTTTTAAAGTGGAAGCCTGTTCTGGCTACGAGACCTATAGGAAAAGGCTATCTTCACCCAGATGGTAGAGAATATAAAAGGTCTTCTCCCAAAAGCAAGTCCCTAGCATCTCAGCATCTCCCACATAGGTGTCTCCATGTTAGGTGATCTGAGTATGCACAAAGCAAAGCCCCATGTAAATAGAATGATGCTTTGCATGTTAGTTGGTATATATGTTACAAACCATGTTTAAAAACCTATTTTCAGATAAGCATATGACCAAGTGGGACCTATTCAAATTTTTAAAATATGGATTTTAAGGGTCATTTGAAACTATTAGGACTATTAGCTCTAAGTAGGGCTAGGCCAAATTGATCATTTTATGTCCAACAAGTTCTGCAGCCTCTTTGACTTTCAGCTAAACAAAATTCTCAAAATCATGCATAGTAGAGAAGTACTTTTATGAGTTGTTTTATTTTTTTCAGCTTAATACAAGTTAGATATTAAATAATGTTCATAACACAAGGTAGGTATTAGAATTTCATTAGGAATACTATTTCAAAATGAGTTGGTTTTAAATGGATTTAAATGATGTGAATCAATTTAAGCAAACATTTATTATGCACTCAGAGTATAATTCTTTTAATTTGTCCAGGGCTCATTTACCATTAACAAATAGACGCCTATTTACAAATGAACCGATTTCTAAACATGAGCCATAACAAAGGAGAAATGTGAATATCTGTAAGTGTGCTCCTAATTATTCCTCCAGTAGAGCAAATTTCATCTTATAATCATATTCTTTCTTCACTAACTCCTTCCACACTTAGCCTACAGTAAACCAACTTAAGGTTTTCAAAGGACGATACCTAGTTTCATTCACA